TTACATCACTTCCGCATTCATCTGTCAGTCATCTGGCTGCTATAGCGAGAGGGAAGAACATCACGTCCGCATTCAACTGCCAGTCATCTGGCTCTATAGCCAGAGATAAGAAGCTGATGAAGCAGATCTGTGCTTCATCAGCTTCTTTTGGGGTCCCCAGGTGACATTAGGGGTCTTAGAGATCCCTAATGTCTCCATAAAGAGGACCTGTCAGTGTGCCTTTGCTATTATATAGGGGGATTGTTACCCCCCTATGTAATAGCAATAACAATAAGTGTAAAAAAAAACATAAAAAGTGTAAAAAAAATAAAATAAAAGTCACAAATAAAAAAAGTTTTTTTTCTAAACCCAAATTTTTAAGTCCCCCACCCCCACATTTACGCACATATAAATGTAAATACGTGTTCGCGGCGCCAGAATGCGAAAATGACAATTGCGCTACACATGTTACATATTGTCACGAACGTCGGAGTGAGAGCAATCATTTTAGGGCCATTAATCACTGATAACACTAAACTGATGAGCGGTAAAAGCTTTTAAAACGTCGCCTATGGCCAATTTTGGGTTTTGTAGTTTTTTGAGGTTTCACACGCGCGCCCAATTTTAAGGCTTGACATGTTTGGTGTCTTTTTACCCGACGTGACCCCGTCTTTTATATTTGACCAAAAAATTGGGTAATAATAAATGTTTTATCATTTAATATAGGGGAAACAGTTTTTTTTTTTAAAATCTGTAATGTTCCCTTAATATAATAAAAAATAAAAACCCCCAGTGGTGATTAAATACCCCCAAAAGAAAGCTCTGTCTGTCCCCCAAAAATGGTATAAAATGTATTTCAGTGCAGCGTTGCATGACAGAATAAACGTCAATCAAAGTACTGCAGCGCTGAACACTGAAAAATGGCCTGGATGGGAAGGGGGTTTAACACCGCGGACTTGAAGTGGTTAATTATGTTTTCATGATTTCAGAGCTGTCCACGGTTCAGTTTAAGCACCCTATTTTGATAGTTCTAGCATACTGTTTTTAGTTAATGTAACTTCTGTTAATCCATTTGTTCAATTTGAATTGCCCAGCAGCTTTACTTTAAATAGTTATTTGGTGTATGTTAAATGATGCTGGTGAGCATCATAACATTTAGACTGTTTGAACATTCATGTAGCCGGAGTCTCTTCAGTTAAGGGAGCCAAAGTAGACCTCCCAAACAAACCTTCTTAATTTTTCATTGTATGATGAACCCAAAAGGCTGTGTTCAGGGTAATTTCAGGTGCACTGGTACAGCAGAAAGCTGAAAACCTTTGGCTCTGCTCTGGACTATAAAATAATCATTTTTGGGGGTGTGGCGAGCTGCCAAGGAAGATGGCCGCAGTCTGACAGAGCTCCGCATCACCCGATCCCTAGAGAGCCATCCATAGCGAACATAAGCACCCTGAACGACACCGGAATAGTGGCCCTTCAACCCTGACACCAGGTACCTTGCGTGGGGGGTATGAGGAGGCAGAGCAAGCGGCAGAAAGACGCTCGGCGGCTTCAGATGATGAGACGCGGACAGCCCAAGATGGCGGCCACACGAGGCACACCGGAGCACTCAGCTTCCTCGCTCCTGCTTCCAGATACACAGGACTCCTCGTCCCTGGACAGCCTTCCCATGACACGGGGATGACCTAGATGATTCTAGAGACGCAAGCCTCCTACAAAAGATCCACGCCATGCTGCATAAGGAGCTGACAGCAACCTCTAAGACACTTACTGAAACCCTGACTAAAGAGATCAGAGAAATAGGGGTGCGCACAGACCTATTGGAGAAAAAGATGGATGATGTCTTATCTGTGGTTGAATCTCATGAGCAGGATCTGGACTCAGTCAATACTGACCTGATAGCCATTATGGATAGCGCTAGCCAATGGACCACAGACCTGGGTCTCCGCTGGTCTGATGAGGAGTGGAGGGCGGTATGGGTAAACATTTCCAAGTGCTCCAATAACGTGACAAACTCTGAGGTACCTAGTCCCCACTCGGCTAGGTAGAATGTTCCCATCTACATCTACAAATTGCTTCCGAGGATGTTCGACCCCAGGAGACATGTTCCACACTTGGTGGTCGTGCCCCTTTGCAACCCGGTTTTGGACCAGAATATTCCGTCTACTCTCGACTCTATTTGATAGGACCATCGCTAAAAACCCGACACAGGCGCTGCTTCATGCTTCAGTGCCCGAATTGTCTAAATCCCAGCGTGCACTGGCACACCAAATTTTTATCACTGCCAAACTAACCCTAGCGGGACACTGGAAAAAACAATTTATCCTTTACCGGGAGTTTACGCATAGACTAGATAATATTCTCATAAATGAACGGTTGTCGAGTGTACTTAATGATACACATTCCAAATTTCTCAGCATCTGGGAACCTTGGCTAAAACATAACCACCCCGATCTAGATATCAATACCCTCAGCCGCCTGTGATATGGTCAAATGAGTTGAGGGGGGACCACATACGGGAGCAACTGGTCGAGACCTGTGGATATGTGGAACAATCCCGAAACTATTCACCGAGGAAGACCGACCGATGGACTCCTTCCCTGATTCCCTTCCTTCTTTCCCCTCCCCCTTTTTCATTTTTACTTTATGCCGCAATGATATTTGTACATCGTATTTGCACTGACATTTATGGAATTCATTATACTGCCTTTGTGGCCTATTGTGGCCGGTGAATACTATGTAAACTGCTGATTGTTTCATTTTTGAAAACCCAATAAATACTTGGTTATAAAATAATCATTTTTATGTAGCAATAGTGCTAATTTTGCTATCCCAGTGATTTTTTTTTTATCTTTGCTCCAATGTAATACTCATATTTCCACTGGTTCATATGCTTAACATACACTGATTGAATGTAAATGAATTAATTAAAGTGGGCCTAGACTCAGGAGCACCATTACAGGATTAATGTTCACTCCTGTACAAGTGGTAAAGCTTGTTAGTGTAGCTTCACTCATGGCAGCCCATGTTCACTTAAGATAAACATGCCTATTGGTAATTGGTTGCCCCCAGGATTTATTACATGATGCTTTACTCTCAGGCCAGGTCGCACAAAAGGCAGAGCAAAAGTAGAACAACAATACCTGTTGTTCAGGAAGATACTGATGTTAGAAGGGGATGGTGAGACTAGCTCTGAAATGTCATGAGAGGGATGTGGCAAGATGTCAATCCAGGCAGAGGGCAGATATGTGGTCAATAAACAGGCACGGGCAAGAGACAGGGTCAATAAGCAGGCAATGGCAATTCCTGGAGGCAGGCAAGAGATGTGCTCAGTAAACAGGAAAGGATCAGATAACAGGGCAGGTCAAGATTAAGGTCAAATAATGGCAGCTACTTAGGTATGTGAAGAAACCTATCACAAGCCCCAGGTGCAGGGTTTGTTAGGTTTAAATCAGGCACCTACAGAGCACACAGGCCAATAGAAGACAAGCTGGAAGGACTGAGCTGTAGGGGTGTTGCTTGGCAATAAGACACCTGGAGGCTGGACTGTGGGCATGTTGCAAGGATACAAGCCACTGGCCAATGTGGAACAATGAGGAGGAGCAAGAGGTGCGGCTACATTGCCCTTGCAACAGAACACAGAACGGCATAGCCACCTGAGTCATCAGGAAGAGAGTGGCACAGCTGCCTGAGTCATCAGAGAAGTGTCATGATGAGGACCAATTGGTGTGGGATGCAGTGGGAAGGACCTGGGATGTCAGCACAAGATACGTTCTTACACCTTTAAACAGAGCAACATAAGTCAGTTGACATACAGTACCCTTACAGTAGGCATTCTGCAGCTGCTTTTTTATGTAAGCGTACTCTTTCATTCACCATAGTGGTGGAAATGCAAGCTATCACAAAACAGGTTTTCATGTTCCTAGACATCACTCCCTGTTGACACCATTATTGTAATCCAGTGATTAGAAGTGAGTGAGGTATGGGAATATTTGATGGTGTCAAAATCATTATAGGCACCACAGAGGCTAGAACATCAATGGAAACCTAGGTAATATTACAAGTGCAGTCATGCTCTGCTTCTAAACTGAGTCTTATGATAGACAAAAATTAGATTCCAAGTATGAGCCCTATTTAAAATATCTGCCTAAATAAAATGCTTTGTAAAAAGCTGACAGTACTAAAGTAAGCAAAATATTGTATTTCTTTTTAAACAGAGAGCTTTACAATCACTTTTTTGAAACAACAAACACAAAATGTTAAATTAATTTAGCCCACTTCTACTTAGAACTCCCAACAGAAGTATATAGTAAGTCAACTATATCATAAAAAAATCTGAAGTTTGTCTCTGACAGTAAATAATCAAAATGAAAAGAACTGTATAAGCATGGCTTGCATCCAAACTGGTCAAACAACATAACCCCAAAGCAATTTCAGCAAAACAGCAAGCCTTTTTTGTGAAAAGACACTTACTCATTATAAGATCCCTACTGGGCCATTAGTTCTCACTGTGGAAATTTAGGAAAACTTGGGGTGAGTTTCTGGCTTGGGTTTCAACATGCAACTATTATTACCAATATTATTAGTGTTTTTTTGTCATTGGGTCAGGTTTATGTTTACAAGAAGATACCCCTGATGCTAGAGCACTGGCCAGTAACTATACTCTTCATGTTCACCAGCTCTTCCGCTTGCAAATACAGAAACACAGAAATACAGAGCCCACCAACAGCATAGAGCACCAGGAGGCTTTGTTTGAATCAGCACTGTGAAACAGCCCAAAAGGCTTTGGCCCGTTCACGCTAGAGCAATTAGTCATACGCCATAAACCATAAAACTAAAACAAATTGTAACTTCAAATACTGTTCTCCCTATTATTTCAGCAGGAATTATATATGGGGAAAAAGTGTATATCATGCAGACATAATTGCTGTCATGTTCCTATGATTATCTGTTTCGGCATTTAAAATGACTGCTAATACAGTCTTTGTTACAAGTTAGATTAATAACAATTGTTTTATTTATAGGTTAAAAGTGTAAATCTGTCTGAGGGAGAGCACCTATCTATTCGAGGCATGAGCGAGGATGCACTCATAGTTCTGGCAAATGAAACTCTTCTGGTTGAAGGTCAGGTCATCCGAAGTCCCACTAATACTCTTTCGGTTTACTTCAAAACATTCCAGGATGATTCAATTGGAACCTTTCAGCTACATTACCAAGGTAAGTGTTAAAGCAACAACTGGTTACTTGTAGTAAACGAACAAGAGCATTGTTGACCAAAGACAGCCAAATGCCCTGTTTTATTTTATTTTAAATTTCACATCTCTGAAGGATTATGGATCCTTTGGCATCAGTGGCAAAAATCTAAATTGTATTAAAAGAGCAGTACCTAATCTATTGTATTAATGAGGAGACTAAAATACTGACTTGGATACCTAAATTTATAGGCAACTAAAGCAATATAACTAAAAAATAAATACAAATGAAACAGTATCTTATTTCTTTTTATAAAGACATCAAATCAAACATGATATTGTTTTAAAGCCTTGAAAAGCAAAAAACATGTTGTTTGTCAAAGCCTGACCATCTGTGTACATTCATGTCCTGTGTAGTGTTTTTTTAAATGTCTTATAGTAAGTGTGCTGTACATTCTCGTTAGCAAACACTACAAAGATTATTTAAAAAGTATATGCGAAGTATGGTGAAAGTACACAACATTATGCTTATGAATTAAAGCCTTACTCCAGGCACATTTTTCTTTGGGATGTGGATAGATTGGGAAGAGTCAAAAATTTTATTTTTGTTTTTTTATGTCCCTGTGACACAAAGACAAGAAATGTAGAGTGCGGTTCTCATCGGGACAAGAAGTTCTAACACTTCCCCACTGTACTAAAAATATTTGTTTCTGTTCCCGTTAGAGTTTTTTTTATTATGTCCTTGTCACAGTTCAGCTGCAGACTTGCTTTCCCAAGTTAGATGCCGAGCCCCCCAGGTTTGCGAATTAACCTGAATTCCTTGGAGTTTGCCCGTGTACCGACCTTTGGCTTGTCCCTGGAAATCCTTGTCCTCAGTCTGCCCTGAACTATGACTTGTCCCTGCTCATCCCAGTCTTCAGTCTGCCCTATCCTTTGGATTGTCCCTGGAAGTCCTAGTCATCTGCCTGTCCCTGGCCTTGGTTTTGTCCGTTGTATGTGTGTCTGCAACCTGTCCAGAATTCTGGCCTTGTCAACCATTCTTGGCTGTTAGGTGAGTTGGGTGAACCTAGGGATTGTGACCTGGGGTCAGCACGCAGCCAAGTCCATCTCCACCATCAGGAGCTCTGGTGAACACCGGCTGGCCCTTAGATTCCACATCCTGGGGGACCATATGCCACCTACCTAGCATTGCAGCACCCTGCCTAGTACATTGATCTACCAACCTATTCTATCGTCCACTGCCTCATTCCGTGGCCCTGCTCTGTTCCCTGCTTGTACTCCAGCTCAGGGAGTCGTCAGCCCACACTGCTCGCACCTTTCTCTCTAAGTGTCCCTGCTAGTGTAGTAGATAGGATCCAAAGACCAGATTCCAGTTCATACCCATGAGCCCCGATCAATGACATTCCTGTGCTGACAAGACGTGGGGGGTAATCTCCCCAACAGCAACAGTCAGTTATAAAAACCTGACAACAGCTCTAACTTTTCCCTTGAAAACAAAACAGATTGTTCTGGTGCTGAAATACTTTTTCCTTTTCACGGCAATGTAAAGACTGTTAGGCAGATGGGTCTTTCTAGATAAGCAACTTTTGAGTAGTTTTAAGCCATAAAAACTGCTAAAGGTTTGCTTAAAAAGGGTCGGGAGCTGTTACTACTGAATCAGTATTTTGGTAGCTCTTTCATCACTTAAGAAAGGTTTAGTGACATGGTGGTGAACTCTAAAGATGTGCAAGTGCCCATATTGGAGATACAATCTAAAACAGAGCCAAGACCTTTAAGACCTCCAAAACTTTGAAATACAGTACCTATGCGAAAGTGAATTGAATTGCTGTTGCACAATTCAACGTTAAAACTACAGCTATAGCAAGAAATGAAACTTGCCTACATAAAGATGCTACATGGGGTCAGCATCGAACATAGAGCTGGCAGAGAGGCAGTTCAGATGTTAACGTGCATTTAATGGCTTCTTGCCTGCTTTTATCTCTCCTCAGAACAAAACGAGCACGAAATGTCTACCCTCGCAGGGGTTGTCGAAACACAAAACAGCAACATAAATCTTTAGTCTCTGGCTGTTTGATCATTTCCCCCTCTCCGCCTGTTCCTAGCCTAGACTGAATCACACACTTATCTCTATTTTATCCATCAGGTGTACAGTACATAAGTGTGTCCAACCATTAACTCCTGGCTTACTGCATAACAGTCAGACAGCAGCAAGCCAACTCATCTACCTTAAAAAATATTAGATTCTGGGTGGGGTGACACATATATCCCATCCTGGACCATGCCCTTGGCCAGCTGGGGCCATCTGTTACAATTGTTTTCTGAATGAACTAGTTAGTACCAATAATAATCAGCATCCACAACCTGCTTTGATTAAAATGGTAACCTCCCTTGTGAAGAACTGTTTGTAAATTTATAAATGTACATAAAGTAGAACTAATGTTTTAACCACTCACAACAGCGGTGCAGAAGATGTTGGTTATACATAAATCAATAATTATTATTATTAATAATAATAATACATTTGCTATAAAATATAATGTAACCTTTCTAAACAATATCTGTTTTATTTATGGCATGTATAGTGATGTTTTTAAATGGTATTTCATTAAAAAAAAAGTTAATGCCCCAATAAAAAGAAAGATTACAAAAAAAACATTACAAAAACTGTTTGGTGTGATCAGTTATAGGTTTCTATTTCATGTATTTTATGTTACAGCACAAAAGCATTGGCAAAACTTAAAATAAAATTCCTTAAACACTGCTGCTTGCAAATAGATTAGGTGATAAATGTATAGAACAGCTTTGGGATGTTATCTAATATACAAAATCATAGGTTTTGGCAAAGTACCATATGGTTCTCTAAATGTACAAATAGTCAGTATTTTGTATAGCTTTGTAGAAATTACATCATGCTGTATTTATTTATTTCTTTTTTTAAGTTGTAAAAAAAAATCAGCTCGAGTCCCGTATTGCTATAGGCAAAAGCACCATTTTCTGTTGTCGATTTGATCACTGAGACCTTTATAATTTGAATGCATTACTATGTCTGTCCCTTTGCTTATATGTAACTGTATTTGTATTTCAAGTTTTCATGCTGAGCTGCAGTTTTCCCAGAAGGCCAGATTATGGTGATGTGACAGTCATCGATTTACATGCTGGAGGAACGGCACATTTTCATTGCTACATGGGATATGTGTTGGAGGGCTCCAGGAACCTTACATGTATCAATTCTTCAAAACCACGTTGGAGTGATAAAGAGCCCATCTGTCTAGGTAGGTCATGGAACACATATACTTTTAAAAGCAGCAACAAAGGTATGCCATGGGGGCAGGTAACTCCATGGCCTACACAATAACACAAGATTTTTTCCCAAGCATAGCATCAGAGTACACAAAAACTAGCCTCATAGCCTACAGTTCCATCTGTATATAATATAATTTGCCTGCCTTTTATACTCTCAAACAGCATGGCTCTCTATCTCACTTCCTCTGAAACAACATTGATATGCTAGAGGGGTGTGACTTCATGGTAAACCCTTGCAAATAAATATATATATATACATATATATATATATATAAAAAGATCTAATTAAAATACTTAAATAAATGGAAAATATTATCTGTTCGTAATACATTAATATGAATACAAATGAACCACTTTCAATTTCATCCATTTAATATTGGTCTATAAAAAGCGTCCTTTTATATCAGTTAATTAATTTAGTACCATTTTAGTCAATGGAAAATATGTGATGAACTGAGAAAAATTTACTAACTGGAACAAACTAGCAGATCCTTAGTACCAGCGCACCCACTAGTACCTCAAGAGAACACTTCTTGCCACTTTTTGCACATGCCTAACAAGAAGTAAAATAGCTTGGCAAAGCTTTTGTTCATATAACAAGTTCTGTCATTTTGTTAGCACTATTTATTTCAATCATCTACAAAAATAATACTCTTATATTTTATTGATAAAGTATAACTAAAAATAAGCATGCAAGCTGCAGCTTTACTATACTTATACAATTGTAGTTTTCTGTATTTAATCACATTGATGCTCATCTCCCACTACAAGTACACCTCTGTGCCATATGATGGAATGCCAATGTAATCAGTTTTTTCTTGCTACATCCTCATTTTCTTCTACTCTAACTGCTAGCATTGATTGAAGTCCAATATTTTAGTCAATTTGGTATTCTCCTGTTCAAAAACCAGAAACTGGCTCCTTTGATTACGTTCTCTACTCTTTGGGACTCAATAGTATAATTACTCAATGTAGGCGCTTTGCTGCCAGCTTCCCCAAACTGCTGCAACTATGCAAGAGATAAGACAGATAATGGGATGAGATCAGCCTCTCGCTGGCACTTAGTAAATAACAAAAAGTCCAACCCTGACCCCTTGATGGCAACCTACAGACTCAGTCAATTCTGTGAATAGAAGCAGCAGGGCCAGGAGGTTGTAAACACAGTATGAAGTCTAATCTGTTTAGGGACACTTTGCAGGAGAACTAAGAGATCAGTTTAAATAAACTCTGTTGCTTATACAATGTTAAAGAACAAAGCCATACTTTATAAAAGAAAAAAGTAAATACTTTTCCTGCTTCCAATGAATGAGTGTCCATATGGGGTTTTCTCGGCAGTGCTCAGTGGTTCTTCCATCAAACCTTAATGTCACTGCATGACAGAGTAGAACATATTAAAATTTCAGATAATTAGGATTTTCAGAAGGAGGACAACAATGGCAGCCTGTATAGTCCTCCCTGTCCAGGTTTCATTTAAAGTGCATTTACACTTATTTTGTAACCCCCTCCCAAAAATCCTAAATTCCCCTGTCTCATGCAGCAAGATATTAACTGCTTGAGATTTTAATCACCATCTCTTCTGTGTTGGACCCACACATGCACTTTCCAATCACCATTCAGTCCTATACAGAATTAGTCTAGAGCTCTTACTCCACAGTTCTCTATAAGACTGAAAGCACTAAAGTACTATAGGACTAAAGGGAAAGCTCTAGAGTACAAAGACATACTCCAGGGAGGTTACAAAATAAGTGTAACTGCAGTTAAAGCTTAATGCCATAAAGGCAGCCTATATCTGCCTGGCCTACAGCAGATATACATTAAATACTGTATGTATGTTTGAATCCTCCCACATCTAACAAAAACTAGCAAAGCAAATACACCAATTTGAATAAAGGGACTGTAATTAAATGAATTAAGCTGGCTTGCATATCAACTTTTTAATTGTCCAACTTCTTCAACTAAGCTGGAAAGGATTATGAAGCAGAAATAATTAAGTGATTACATATAAAACCATATCCTGAGTTAGGAAAAAGAACATGCAGTGACTGTGAAACCTGTCAGATTATGCTATTATGATTATTATTATTGTATCTAGAATGTGCCAGCATATTGCATGGAATATTCCATGACCTCTCCAGCTGCATGGACACCCTGTTTTCCAGTTATAGATAGAGGGAGTGTGAAAGTGGAGGGAGAAAGCTTGGAATCATGTTTTTTTTTCTTTTTGGTATTATAGAACTAATTATGGTTCATTATGCTATACCTTGAAAAAGGTTAATGAAGGGCTATTTCAACAGGCAAATACTGTATCTTTATTCAAACAGTGCCTACAATTAAAGGTGATTTTAAAAAAATGCAGCTTTGATTTGTCATGTAGAAACAATACCCCCCACACACACACACACACACACACACACACACACACTTACCACCACTTTAAATCAATGAAATTAGATGCAGGTGTTCCAGATTAGATGCCAATGATTAAAACATTCTCAGGGAGTATGCAACTGGTCTTATTTAACACTTAGTAACTGCATGTAGGGTCAGGTGTTCTCTTTGCTTTTGAAGTGTGTGGTGTCATTATGCCAAGATCAGAAGAGCACTCTAATGCCCTCAGAAAGAAGGTAGTGGATGCCCATGGGTCAGGTAAAGGATTTAAAAAAGATTGCCACATTACTTGAAACCAATCATTCTACTTTAAAGAAAGCAATCTACAAGAGCTCCAAGATTCCCCAAATGTACTTGCTGGATCTGCAGGTAACAGTTAACAGTCATTAAAGTGCATGCATTAACAATCAAAAAGGGGGAAAAAATAACCTGCATCTGTGGTGTTCCAGAAAAATGCTATTGCTGTCCAGAAAGAAAACTAGAAAGAAAACAAGACTACACTTTGCCATTGAACATATAGACAAAGACCAGGTCTTCGGGAACAAAGTGCTGTGGACAAAAGCAAAGATAGAGTTGTTTGGCCACAGTAACAGTAGACATGTCTGGCGCAAAGCACATTTTAGAAGAACCTCATACCAACTGTGAAGCATGGTTGTGGAAATGTTCTGATGTGGAGTTGCTTTCTGCTTCAGTCATCGAATCAACTAAGAATTGTGTATCGTATCAAAATGTGCTTGATGAGCAGCCATTAGTCTAAGAGCTGAAGTTAGCCTGGAAATTAATCTTTCAACACACTAATGATCCCAAGCAGACTAGCAAATTCACCAGGCAATAGCTAAAAAATAAGAAATAAGGTGTTATGAACTGCCCTAGTCAAAACCGATTTAAATTCTATCTGTCGGATTTAAAACAGACAGTTCATGCTAGGAAAAACACAAAGATCTTGCAACTGAAGGAATTTTACATGCAGCAGGGGTAAAATTTTCACTGAGGTGATGATTAAAAATAATTGAAAATGCAAATTTTCTTTGTGTTTTATATATAGGTATATCACCTTTATCTGTAGGCACTGAAAACCTAATATTTCCCTGTATAAAAAAGTGCAAAAAGTCAACCATTTGCATGTGGTGTACTTACTTTTTTACATGACTGTGTATACCTGTATGTGCAACCAGTGGTACCTGCATGCATGATTTAGGCCCCATTCACACCAGATCCCTAGCATGGCATTTATTAAATGGATTCTAATGCAAGGGGGCCAACAAATGAATGGGTGTGAATGGGGCCAGTTCACAGTGGTGCGCTGCATTGTGTTTGCAGTTTGCATGCGCTACTTTTTTCAATGCAACACATCAAGAATTAATGCTAATCCAACGCAAGGCAATACAGTCAAGTATGTCCACTTTGGACATGAAACAAACTTCACATAAAGATTGCCAAAAAGAAAAAAAATGCAAGGGAACGGAAGCAATTCAGAAGTTACAATACCAAGTCAATAGACCCTCTATTTCCCCTCTACCTTCCACTTTTGGTGTGAAAATATATTATATATATATATAT